TTCTATCAGTTCTAAATTAAAAGAATACATTTGACCCACCCACTTTCCATTTTTACTACCACTAGATGGTAGTCCAAGCCACCATCATCTTTGACCTAATCAACTGTAATAGCCTGCTAAACAATTTCTGTGTCTCGGTTCTCAGATCTACAATTCCCTTTCAATACCTGTGATGTCAGATTTGGAGTACATGCACCCTAAGGCAAAGCAAGATAATTCATTGAGATTCAAGAAGAAATGCTAGAAATTCTACTTATTTATTTTTATCTCATTCTTTTAGGTTTCTATTTTTATATATTTTATAATGTTCACAAATAAGTACCACAGTATGTATGTGTGATTTATAAATAAAAAATGTGTATATATTGGGGCACAGGCTAAGTTATTGACTATTTCCCAGATATGCTCTTATTAGTATACAGTAGTATTATTATATTTAAGAGTTTGCACACAGTACTTTGTATAATGTATTCTCTTATTAGCATTTTACCTCTCATTTTTGTCTTTTGCCTTTATTAAATTCATGGTTTGAGGTATCCAGCTTCTCAGATCTGTTTGCACAGTCTTTTATAACAGGTAAATAATTTATGTTTTTCAATTGAAAGGCCTTCCATTTGTCTTAGTTATATTTGTCTTATACATTTTTATATTTTAAAACAATATCATCTTTATAGAAAAATTGCAAGTAAAACACAAATGACATTTTTTTTTCCCTGAATGATTTTGAAAGTTAATTACCAACAGGGACACTCGTATCCCCAATACTTTACTCCGTATTTCCTACAAGTAAGGATAGTCTCCTAAAGGTAGCCACAAAACAACCATCAAAGTCAGGAAATTAACATTGTTATTCCCTTTTCAACCTGAGACTTCATCTAAGTGTTATCAGTTCTTTAAGAACATCCATTTGAACTCAGAATCACCTATTGCATTTAATTATAATGTCTCCTAGTCTCTTTCAAACTGGAAGAACTCCTTGTCCTTTGAACTACATAAGCTTGGGATTGAATTCAGGTTACACATCTTTGGTTTTGACATCACAGAAATAATGTTGTGCTTTCTCTGTGCATCATATTTGTTACAATAACATCCTACAAAATTTTGGTTTGTCCCATAACTGACGATGGAAACTTTAATCACTTGATTAAGATGGTGTCTATTAGCATCTCCCTGTAAACTTTCTCTTTTCCCTATGTAATGTTTGAGGAGTTTGAGGAGGTACTTTGAGACTATGTCAATATCCCCTTTCATATCAAATTTTTATTACTTATTTATATCAGTATGGACTCAGGGGATCCTATTTTACTTAGAGAATACATTTTTTTTAATTACCACTATTTATTTTGGTGCTCAAATTGACCCAAATTTGACCACTGAGAGCCCCTTCAATCAGGTTTCTGCATCCTTTTAACATACTCTCATCAATTCTTGAACTTCTCCTTATTTTCCATCTATATTTAATTTCCTTTGCTTCAGCAACATTTTAGGTCATTTAGATTACTTGAATCATGATTCTGTCACTTCCAATATAAACTATTCCTCCCAGAAATTAAGCATTTCTCATTGAGATATTTAAGTCATAGATAATAAGTATCAATGAGTATGGGCCTAAGAGAGGGTCCTCAATAATTGTTACTGCTAAGTGACAGGCCCTAACAAGCTCATCACTCCAGCCAGGTCTTCTCTAGATTTTAACTGTCTCTTTTTGGAAATAAAATGACTTGTTAGCATTCTTAATGGAAAAAAGAGAGAAACAGAACCAGTAGTTTGTTTTCCACATGATTGACAGCACTGTGTCCATCCCCACCTGATCTCAGGGCCCAGATAATTTGTACTTAATAGGCCTTTACTTTCAGCCCACATGGTAATAATGAAGCTTTGTAGAGGGAGGAATAACCAAATTAGTCCCTGCCACACATTATGCATTCAGTAATGTTGCTCAACTGAGCAAATTAGCAAATACTTCAGATTAATGCAAATAAATTAATTCAAACTTTAAATGGATCTCGCTGTTTAACTAGCTATTTGTGTACTGTGGAAGAATCTACAAAGTCAAAAACTTGAGTCCAATGTGAACCCTAAGGATTCAAGCTGTGGAACTCGGGCAATCCACTAAATTATTATTATGAGTATTTTGGGAGATTTTTGTTTGTTTGTTTGTCTTGTTTTTGGTTCAATGGAACATCACTACCTACTTCATAGAATTGTGCAGCCTAAAGAAGATCATGTAAAATAAAATTTTCTGTGCTTCATTAACTGGTATTAAAGTGTAAAATTATCATTCTTGCCTCCAATCTAGATGATTTTACATCATTTTATAAGACAAGTTTCCTGTGAACATTTTCCAAATGCTACATCACTCCTAAGCCATTTACCTAATGTTGATCCTTTAAAAGAAAAGAAAAGAAAAAAAGGAAAAGAAGGAAATGAAGCTCTCCCTGCAGGACTTTTCTCTTGACTCTTGTCTAATTTGTTCTTTTTGAAATGCTCATAAATCATCTACTTAAAAAATCATTCTCACATTTTTCTGTGATCAACACAAGCCTCACAGTCCAGTTTGCAAATTCTTCCTCCTTTTTTATTGGAAAATTAGAACAGATTTGCTTTTCAAGTTTTCTGGCATCTTTCCTCTGCTCCTTGATTTTTTAGAAAGTTCTAATATTAACTCTTTAAAAAAATAAGTGTTACACTTAGCTCTGCTGTTCGAGAATCAGTGTTATAGGTTGGTGGATCAGGTTGAGGGACATAAGGAAAATATACCACAATTTCTCTACCTCTCTATTTTCCCACCTAATAAAATGAACATAAAGAATAAATTAGACTCTTATTATGTTCACACTGCAGATCAAATACAATCATGCATGTGAAGGAAAGTCTGTAAATTATAAAACTTTATGTAACAAACAATTCTATACTCCAGGCTAATTATAATAAAAGCTACAATTTATTACATGTACTCTCCTCACTGAGGTCAGTAGTCCCTTCCAGGACCCACAGTAACCCAAGGAAACTGAGGATCAGAAGGATTAAGTAATGCTCGAAGTCACACACATAAAAAGCTGTGGAGGAAATTCAAACCCAACTCTGACTGCTTCCAAAAGCTATATACTTATCTACACCCCGAATGGCACTCCTAACTCCCCCTTGTGAGGCCTAGGAGTTCAGCATTTAAACAGAAGCTGCCCTGAAAATTTTATACCTTTTAAGAGCTCCTGCCAAACTTTTATGTTGTTGGTCCTAAATTTTCCAATATGAAAACTATTCCACTTTCTGGAGGAGACAGAAACCATGTAGTTGATTAATAGCTCTGAACTCTCATTTATCACCTAACACTATACCATCTTTCGAAAACAGCAAACTTTTCTCCTGCAAACATTCTTTATTTCAAGTGTTTTCATAAGCCTAAATTCCTTTTGCCTTTACCACTAGGTGAGGGGGGAAAAAACAAAACCTAGAAAAACCTGAACCAATTATCTTTTCAAGGAATTGAATAGCCATTATGTCCAAGTATACTTTCTGCATATGATAGTTATTTAATTATATAACCCATCCCCATAAATCCTTTCCATAATTTTTACCTCCCTTTTTAATTTTCTCCAAGTTTCCCTTAATAGGTGATACCAATTTGTCATGTGCAAAATCAGTGGTTTCACAAGTGATAGTAACAATGGCTTCTGAATGCCTTCTAATAATGCTTATGAAATGTCTGTATCTTTGGGAGTTTATTACATTTTAAATTACTACAACTACGGTTATTGTGAAACTTTTATGGATAATGATCTGTGGAGTGGACAAAGAGAACATGAATGTGCCTCAGCAGTAGTGACCAGCTATCACTTTAGCTCTCACAAAACATTTTAGTATGTCTATAAATAACACACCAAAATAACTCATGATTGCATTACACAGTCATTGGAGCAACTTAAAAATAAATTGAATCATTTACCCATTGTATATATAACATGCTGATAATTCAGGATAACCACTGTGAAAAAAGTTTTATATTTTTACCTCAATGTTACGCTTAGTAATCTGATTCTAAGAATACTTTAATATTTACCCTAGTAATTTTCCACAATCATTATTCTTTTATAATTTCTATATTGACAAATACAAAAGTGCTTTTTTGAACCTACTAAATAAGTCGCTTTGAAAATGTCATGAACTAACAAACACATCTGAACCCACTTATGGTCCACTTCTACCCAAAAGCCCTCAGAAAAATGTCTGTAAGGAAAAAAATGATAGAAATTAAAATTCATTTAATTTTACCATATAGGACTGTTCCATATTTTCTTAAACTATATTATAAGTATTGCCACTGATAAACAAACTTACTCATTTCCAACTACTAGTGGAGAAACATAACTCCTAGCACTAGCTAAAACATCTACTCTAAAATGGCTTTGCAAAAATAAAGTCCTGTGTAGTCAGAAACCTCTCTTTTCAGAGATCTAAGTATGAATTATTGTTCGACTATCACTCAGAGATTTTTGTCTGATTTTTGCCTATGTCTTTAGTACTTAAAATCTAGTTTGAAATAAATAATCTCAGGAAATCACTTAGAAGCTAATGTGAGGTCCCTAAATTGAAAACAATGATAATAATACTCCAATTCTGTGTATCCTTTCTCTTGTTAATTTTCATATAATTATGACTAAATTTTACTTTAATTAACTCTGTAATTAGTAGAATGAAGTTTATTTGAATTAATTATGTTGTAAAGACTTTTATAATAAGACTGTGAAATAAGTGGTGAAATCATTGCTTTGAAAACATTTATTTAGACTTATGCATTTCAAATGTTAAATCTGAAGCTAATCAGAATAAAACTTTGGAGTCAAGAGTAGAAATGTGGAATTGGTCATATATAGTTTGTATTAAAGCTTATATCTTCATAGAAACATTATTTAATTTAGGAATCATTATTTGATTTATGTAGACTATCTCTTTTATTCTGCCCTAACAAAATTTTTACTCTTTTTTTTTTTCTTCTCAAGGTATCAGATACACACAGGACTTCAACATTCTATCATAAGACCTACCCAACCCAACTGTTTACCTCTGGACAATGCAACCTTACCTCAAAAGTTGAAGGAGGTTGGATATTCAACACATATGGTTGGAAAATGGCACTTGGGTTTTTACAAAAAAGAATGCATGCCCACCAAGAGAGGATTTGATACCTTTTTTGGTTCTCTTTTGGGAAGTGGTGATTACTATACACACTACAAATGTGACAGCCCTGGGATGTGTGGCTATGACTTGTATGAAAATGACAATGCTGCCTGGGACTATGACAACGGCATATACTCCACACAGATGTACACACAGAGAGTGCAACACATCTTAGCTTCCCATAACCCTGCAAAGCCTATATTTTTATATATTGCCTACCAAGCTGTTCACTCACCACTGCAAGCCCCTGGCAGGTATTTTGAGCACTACCGATCCATTATCAACATAAACAGACGGAGGTATGCTGCCATGCTTTCTTGCTTAGATGAAGCAATCAACAATGTGACTCTGGCCCTAAAGACATATGGTTTCTATAACAACAGCATTATCATTTACTCTTCAGATAATGGCGGCCAGCCAATGGCGGGAGGAAGTAACTGGCCTCTCAGAGGTAGCAAAGGAACATACTGGGAAGGGGGAATCCGGGCTGTTGGATTTGTGCATAGCCCACTTCTGAAAAACAAGGGAACAGTATGTAAAGAACTTGTGCACATCACTGACTGGTATCCCACTCTGATTTCCCTGGCTGAGGGACAGATTGATGAAGACATCCAACTAGATGGTTATGATGTCTGGGAGACCATAAGTGAAGGCCTTCGCTCACCCCGAGTTGATATTTTACACAACATTGACCCTATTTACACAAAAGCAAAAAATGGCTCCTTGGCAGCAGGTTATGGGATCTGGAATACAGCCATCCAATCAGCCATCAGGGTGCAGCACTGGAAACTGCTCACAGGAAATCCTGGCTACAGTGACTGGGTTCCCCCTCAGTCTTTCAGCAACCTGGGGCCAAACCGGTGGCACAATGAACGGATTACCTTGTCAACTGGCAAAAGTATATGGCTTTTCAACATCACAGCTGACCCATATGAAAGGGTGGACCTATCCAGCAGGTATCCAGGGATTGTGAAGAAGCTCCTACGGAGGCTGTCACAGTTCAACAAGACTGCAGTTCCTGTCAGATACCCCCCCAAAGATCCCAGGAGTAACCCACGGCTCAATGGAGGAGTCTGGGGACCATGGTATAAAGAGGACAGCAAGAAAAAGAAGACAAGCAAAAATAAAGCTGAGAAAAAGAAAAAGAAAAGTAAGACAAAGAAGAAACGGCCCAAAACACGTTCATCTCCAAATTGCTATTCAGGTGTTATTCCTGAATAACTACAAATAGTTCCAGTTTGGTTAAACTTAAAAATTCTTAGTCTTTCACCTGTTTGCTAGGTAAACCAGCAAATTTGGCTCAGAAATATCACTGCCATAAACACAGGGCTCATTTTCATGTTGTACCAGTCCAGAGACTTCTGCCACCTGGCTGCCACATGGAAAATTGTCCAGCTCCATACCAAAGGTACTGCTTCTGCAAGTCACACTTGGAGGCCATGGAGATGTTTATTTCTCTGGATCCTTTATAAAAGGTGGTCAGTCGTGAGTTTAACTGCTGTGCTTCCTTCAGTTGACCAAACACAATGCTTTACATTATAAGTGGGGACAATGATCAACAATTGAGGAGCATGCTGATTTGATGGAAATGACAGGGTAGCATGATTTTAAAACTACTTTTGATATAGTCAAAGATTGTGTCACCTCAAAGGCCTCGAAAAGATATTTTCATAGTGAATTTTTGTATCTCTATCATATGACACTTGAGTTTTGAAATTAATTCTATTTCATCTATCATTTCCTTGCCTGTGAAAATAAGCTGTTTTTCTTACATGTGAACAGCTTGCACCTCATTTTATCATGCATGAGGAAATGGCAAATAAGAATGTTTGAGCACACTGCCAAAAATGAATGTAACTATTTTATAAACACTTTAATAGAATAACACTTCAATATAAAGTGCATAATTTATTTTTAAAGTAAAAATATTTTGTTTTCATAAAAGATATGCAAATGGTTTTAATTATTTTATTTTTATTTTCTGCATACCATTAGAATAATTTTATTTCATTTCTTCAAGATTACCAAGCACTGTTAATACAACAAATTACTGTAGTACTTGTGTAAATACATAGAATATAAAAAGAAAATTTTCAGAAAAAAATTATAATCATTATGTTCAATCATTATTTTGAATGTAATAAGATGAGTATAGTCTTACAAATTATTTGGAAAGTCAATGTACAGAGCTGATACATCTTTATTGTTTCTACCATAAACTATTTATGTATATTAATTATTAAAATGATTTATTTTATGACATTGGCATATTTAGTGTGGCTTCTCTGATCTAACCTCTAGAATTCTAGGTAATATTATTCATCTCAACAAGTAAAATTCTTTACAAATAGGCAACTGAAGGTATGATTTGGTAACATAATAATATAAAGATTTTGCAAATAAGAGATGTTTCCACCTGGCTATTGCATTGAGAAAGATGTTCACTTATTTATAAGTAACATTCAAAATGACACTAGCTTTATGCGAAGTAGACAGGAGAGAAATGGAAATATGAAAGATATGGACCTTGGTAGTAGTTAAAAATCTAGTTTGGAACTCATACAAGTAAACACTATGAGGAAGATCAAGAGAATTATCCATAATGATGTTTATCATGGACCATGGATAAGCTTAGATGTGTGTGTGGTTCCTGAGGAGCCTGGAGTTTTCTTTGAAGTGTCCTTTCTTAATGCATAGGCCTCTGAGCCACACCTCATGAATCACAGGAAGAACTGTGATTTGTGAGTTATGACTATGGTAAGAGGACATATGTGGTAGAATAGCAGTGTGCTAGTAAGTACCTGTATGTTAGAACTTAAGTGATTGACCACTATAGTTTCTGGGAATCTATAAAACAAATCTGTAAACAAGTACTGAAATTACTATCTTCATGGGCAAATTAATTAAATTTTTAAAAATTTTTATATTTTTATACTATTTAGCTTCATTTTATTGTATAATATTAAGCAGTATTTCCCAAAGTTTAGTCTAAAAGAATATTGTCAATGTTTTCCTTTGTTGATGCTATGACTTATAATAGATGATATACATTTTTAAAAAATAGTTATTACATTAAAAAAACTACTGAAGAGAAATAACTTTCAGATATTTTCTATTAAAATATCTGAAAGAAAGTTAAAGATATTAATTTACTGCAGACTTTCTTAGAGTTTTTTTAAATCGTAGTTGGCACTGGAACTCTCTAACAGAAGAAAAATTATATACAATATTTTCTAATTTATTTCATCTTAAAAATCTTCTCTATGATGCATTAGTAACATTGAACTAGGGTTCTAAGGAACAAACTGTGAAAATTTCCAATGTGCCTAGCAAAACAAGGAAAAGGAGCAAAGAAGTAAATTAGAAATATGAAAATTAATTTAATTTGGTGTCCCCATAGGCTTTACCTATTATGATGTGATTTTAAGTTCTTTATAAATGACCATAATTTTCTAAATGAAACTAAGTTAACCTACACTGAAATGGCTTTAGGGATATTGATCACTGTTTTAAAGAGAGTACCTGCCCCCTGCACATGGACTGTGATTTAAAAGTCTGTGTCTTGTCCCTAAGAAAACAAAATCTAATATAATAATCATATATAAATCATGAACAAAAATGTTTCCAAATTGCTGTCAACAAGTTGCTAGTTATTTCAAGAAGGCCAGGAAGGAAAGCACCATGCATTTGACTTTTACGCCGTAATCACCAAATGCCATGTTACTATTGGGTCTTCATTGTCTTATGTCCTTCTGAAATGGATCTTCAAGAGGCATTTCTAGGCTGTCTGTACCTATTTTACACCTTGAATCCTTTTCTTAGGATAACAAAGATAATCCCACTGTTTTTCCCAGAAAATTCCTTGTAGGTACAACTCAAATAAAAACAAACAAGGAAAGTAGAGTGAATCAGACATAACTTTCCTGTGTTTACATATGCATACACCACCAGTGCAACTCCACATCATGTACAACCACAAAAATGGGAAGTTATACTCCATGTACGTATGATATGTCAAAATACATAATACTGTCATGTATAACTAAAAATAACGAATTTTTAAAAATTAACAAAAAAACAAACAAGGAGGTGCCTTTCACCCAGTGAAAACATTTACTGTCAAGTCTACCTACAGATGTGTTTCATTTATCTTTACTTACTCTTTTCTTCTTATTCAAAAATTGATGACTATCATAGTTGTGTTAATCAGGACTGTTTTAAAATTAAAAATTTTTAAATTTAAAAATTTAGGGGAGAGTCTCTCTCGCTTTGTCGTCGAGCCAGAGGGGAGGAGCGGGGCTGCCGCCCGCGCCCGCAAGGTAGGCAGACCTGCGACCAACCTGCAGATCAGGCCCAGCGGCCCGCCTGTGTGGTGGTCAAGTGACCCCAATTGGAGTGGGGGCAGAGCGGAACTGCCACCTGTGCCCGCAAGGTGGGCAGACCGGCGACCAACCTGCAGATCAGGCCTAGCGGTCCCTGGGCGTGGTAGGAGGGGCAGGGCAGAGCCTTCGCCCCCACCTGCAAGGTAGGCAGACCTGCGACAAAACGGCGGATCAGGCCCAGGGGTCCGCGGGCGTGGTAGACACCTCACACCAATTGGAGGAGGGGCAGAGCAGAACCCCCGACCGCACCTGCAAGGGAGACTTTTCAACTATACAAGAGCAATATAAATATATAGGGGGGGGAAATTTTCAAAAACACAACAGTTTCACCAAGAAGAAAGAAACGCAAGCAGTATGAAAAGACAAGGAAAGAAAGGACTACAAGCAATGCAGGTCGACTCAACTTTAGAAGAGGTAACAGCTGCAGCAGATGGAATGTCAGATAAAGAATTCAGGATATATACGCTTCAGATGATCTGGAGTATCAAGGAAGACATTAGACAGCAAAATCAGACAATGAAAGATCACTTCGACAAGGAATTACACAAACAAATCCAGGAAAAAAGGATCAACTATACAGACGAATGGATTAAAAAAATGTGGCATTTATACACAATGGAGTATTACTCTGCATTAAAAAATGACAAAATCATAGAATTTGCAGGGAAATGGATGGCACTAGAGCAGATTATGCTAAGTGAAGCTAGCAAATCCCTAAAAAACAAATGCCAAATGTCTTCTTTGATATAAGGAGAGTAACTAAGAACAGAGTAGGGACGAAGAGCATGAGAAGAAGATTAACATTAAACAGAGATGAGAGGTGGGAGGGAAAGGGAGAGAGAAGGGAAATTGCGTGGAAATGGAAGGAGACCCTCAGGGTTATACAAAAGAACATACAAGAGGAAATGAGGGGAAAGGGAAAAATAATACAAGGGGGAGAAATGAAGGTCAGTAGAGGGGGTAGAGAGAGAAGAGGGGAGGGGAGGGGAGGGGAGGGAGGATAGGAAAGGTAGCAGAACACGACAGTCACTCGTATGGCAATATGTAAATCAATGGATGTGTAATTGATGTGATTCTGCAATCTGTATATGGGCTAAAAATGGGAGTTCATAACCCACTTGAAGCAAAGTGTGAAAGATGATATATCAAGAACGATGTAATGTTTTGAACAACCAACAATAAAAAAAAGAACCCATAGACATAATGAAAAATAAAATAAATAAATAAATAAATAAAAATAAAAAATTAAAAAAAAAATAAAAATAAAAATTTAGGGGAAACTGTGTCATTGATAGTTGAATATCAATATATTAATATATTTTAACAGTTGATTTCCCAGTATACCAGAATGTGGCATCAAAATTTGCTTATTAAGCATTTTATTCATAGCATTATTAAGCACACAAATTGTGAATTTGTCGTTAGCAGTCAGAATGTATGTTGTTGGCAGAAAAAAAAAATGACTTGCCCAAATCAGAAAGCAAAATTCATATGTCATAAGCTAATAGCTACATTGTTCCCCCTCAAGGAAAAGTATGTCATAAAATTCATTCATTTATTCATTCAAAAACTACTAAATCTTTACTATCTGTCTGGCAATCAATGTTATAGGTACTTGGGATACCTCAGTGAACCAAATAGATAAAAATTTCTTAAGCTTGTGCAGGTTACTTTGTAGCTAAGCGGGGAAGATGACCACTAATAAACAAGAAATGAGTTAAATTATATACTAGAAAGTATGATGGGGAAAAAAAAGAATATATCAGGTAAAAGGAGGGTTCACTGCACACCAAGTTCATCCATTGGTTTAGTATTTGTAAGTACTGATGTGATGATATATACAAGGGTGTGAGGACAAGCTGCATCAGGCAGGATCTCTTTCTTCAGGTAGTGTACATTTTCCTAAAAGATAAGACCATCAATCAAAAAACCAAACACGCCCTCTCCATATCCTTCCATGGCCACTCGCCCCTTCCCTGCTTTGTCTTTATTCGTAGCCCTTCCCACTGTTTACTGTATTTCATATTTTAATCTTTTCTTTGTCTGCCTCATCCTACTATAGTACAAGCTTCTTAAGAAAAGTGATTAACATCTGTTACATTTACATCTGTATTTCTAATATATATAAACCAATGACTGCTGATAGCACTCAACGTATATTAATATATGCATGTTTGACTGAATAAAGAAAATCACATATCCACTACATTAGCTTAGATTTTCCCTTATTATTTCTTATATAGGAATTTCACTGTTGAAAATAGAATGAGTCATCTTTAATGCCATTCCTCATAATAACAACAATAATATAAAAGGCAGAAATTTCTAGCACTTTAAAACTAACTCTAATAACATAGTTATTGTAGGAACAGAGTGTTACAGCAAAAGCCAAGTAAAAATTACACAAAATTGAGACTAAATTGTATCTATATCATCTTTATTACCTAGCAGGGTAGAACGTGTTTATCCTAACACTACTGTGAGTATTACAGAATACATGGACTTAAATGAAAATTTCCAAGAAAGAAAGATAGGGGCTGAAATGGTTATTAATGTCTTCAAAACTAAGTTGAGAAAGGAAAAATATAATTATATTATCAAATGAACATCAAAGTCTTCATAGAATTATGAAGCCAAATGAACTATGCCTCACATCCTTTATGTTTTATTACAAAGCTCTATACAATTTGGTAGATCGGGAAATTTTCTTTTTTAAAAGGTTTATTTTCTTGAACATTTTATTGGTTGTAGCCTTGATATGAAATTGATGGACTGTTGGTTGGATATGCTGTTATTTAAAGCATAACAAAATATTGCCTTAGAGAATCAGACAGACTTGAAGATACCTAAGTTTTTATTTCATGTTTCTAATTCAGAATT